GAGAGAGAGAGAGAGAGAGAGAGAGAGAGAGAGTGCAGGAAGTCAAGAGTACTGCAGAGTGAAAGGCACCAATCTCCTTTAGGCGGCAAAGGTGGCAGGAAGAGCATCCGGTTCTCATCTTGACGTGAGGGATGGGGTTGAAGCTGCCATGAAGAAGACAGCTTAAACATCGACGTCAGGCTTGCCGGTGACCACTCGATAAGAGTGAATGATGAGTCTTTTGACCAATTGAAACACCATGAAAACGATTGAGCTGCAGCGAATCCATGCGAGGGTGGCAGAATGGTGGGTGGGAGAAGGTTGAGGTGCCATGGGCTGTTGGATATGTTAGTAAGAAGATTTAATTGTATGATCGTTAAATAGCAGTTTTCTTCAGATCACACAGCCAAAATACTGGCTCGAGGTAATCAATGCACATCAGGAGAATTAATGTACACGATGATCTTTAACCCTACAAGTAAACAAGAAAAGAAAAAGGAAAGACTTCATAAAAGCTCAGTCTAAGTTGAAGAGTCTCTCTATGAAAACTATTATGAAACAGACTGAATGGCTTTTCAAAGGTACTCAGTCTTTGCCCTATTTGTCAAGTAGGGGCAGACTATTGTGACCACACCTTTTCTAGGTTTAGATTTGCATAGGAAGTTTGCTCATACTCAAGGATGGCATGAAGGTCAAGGCAAAGATTTGGAGAAAGAATCTTTATTATTACTGAACAAAGCCATTGCTAAATGCTTTTGGTTGATCCAAATCTACAAAGATTTGGACAGAATTGTTGTGACGAGTGCTATCAGAATCGACCTAATATTGCATATGAGAAGATATCCGCCAAGAAAAGGACTATCTATAGTATAATTGAGGCTTACACATAATGACAGAATTAACATCTCATATGTACCAATGAAAAATCCAACATTGACAATAGCATTAGGCTACCCTAAGTTTAGACCCACATCGAAATCGCCATATAAGAACTTCACAAATATACTATCATTAACCTAAATTTTTTGACCTGTGACTATAGTTACCAAGTTAATTAGTTAATCGTCCCACCGGTGACACTCTCTCTCACCTAACCATTCAATTTAAATTTATTGAAGCTTTTAATAAGTCCTCTTATCATATATAGTTGCTTCCTATATCTATCTCAATCTTATAGTTTAAGACAATTAAATTCTATCTCAATTTTGCACATAGAATTGTTTCTAATACATGAGCAATGAACCTACACACACTTTAACAAGTGACAAAGAATTGAGATGAACAAGAATATATTTAAGAAATGCAGATAAAATATTTTCAGTGGCCACATGAACTTCTGAATTAACAGACAATTACACCGACTAAAATGTCCCATTAGAAACAGGTTACAACTTAAGTTAGAATATATTAGATTGAGTAAGAAATATAAATGGCAGAAATTAAAATCTAATACCATAGATATGCTCTAACAAAGGAGCACATCTATTAAAAGTACTTCCAATTTATTTAATCAGTTTCATAATATATGATATTCTGCTGTTCAGTATTGATATTTTCCAAAACATCACCTTCTGTTAAATCATATGCAAAACAGAGAACAAATAATCAATTTTAACTTAAATAATAAGCTCTTTTAACAAAAAAAGTTGTGACGAGCTCAATCAAGAATTGTTCGCTACAATTTATAGCATATTTAGGAGTATACTCTGTCCATAAGTAAGCAACCATGACAAATCATAAATACTAAAATATTATTTGGACAGTTTTATAAAATATGACATTCTGGTGTTCAGTATTAACATTTTCCTTACCAGTGCTTTGTGTTCAATTTTCCATAGTCATATGCAAATCAAACAAATATAATCATCAATTATAACTCATAACAACCCTTTTCACCATAAAAGAAAAAAAAGTTATGACAAGCTAAAACAACAATGATTCACTACAACAAATTGTTACAATATAGTTTATAGCATATTTAAGATTATACTACATTATAACTTTCAAAAATAAGCAACCATGGTAAGTCATAAATCTTTTTCCCCACTTGTAGAACTCAGTACTGTCTGTCTACTCTAAGTCTCAGTAAATGCAACACATCTTAATAAAGGACAGTGCCATTCTGTAATTGAAAAAACATCCTTTAAACTGCTGTGGATGGTGCTGTTTGTTTCATTGAATGCCATCTTTGACATCCATGGAATTTCTCATGTTTCATGAGACGTCCACAGAAAGATTGCAGAATGTTGCAAAGACAATCTTGGATAAGATGGTCTCTGAAAAGAGCCTAAAAGAAAACACAACATTGTTCTATAGTTGCAGTATTTTGGGCAATGTAAGCACATAAAAGAACATGTGCATAAAAGGTAAGAACCCTCAAAGACCTACAGAGAAGTGTCCAGGGTAGGAAAACAGTCTCTGGGCAGATGAAGCCTGATCATAACCCAGCAAAGTGTAAGATCAAACAGTTGAATAACAAGAGAATAAATTAGAAAGAGAATTCCTTGTACCAAAAGTTTATCCACTTTTCAAGGGATTGTATCGAGTACCCATGGAAATAGATTCCATTAAGTAGGTTGCTCCATCTAAAATTAAACTAAATTCGAATATAATTTAACATTAAATATGACTCGGCATGCATATGTTACATAAGAACCTGAAAAGAAGTGCCGCCAGTAATGATCGCCAATCCTCAGATTTTCTGCGGAAGAGCTTTAAAAAGGAGCTGTACAAGATAGATATCTGCTACATGAAATAGCTGAGCGCCTTTTTCTTCCTAGAACCACCTTCCCCATACAGCTCATTCCACTGAAGAAGCTCACTCATACTTGAGGATTCAGATGAAACACTAGCGCAAACCTATATTCACACCAAGATATTATCAATAGGTATTCCCAACACAAAAAAAGCCAACCATATACATATATATACAGTTATGTTGCATTACATGTCTGTTTCAAGATGAGACACTGTTCCCAGGGAGAAAAATCTAGAACACCCAAGGTCATACACAGGTTAATTACTACCATAAAAGCAAGAGAGGATGTGTCTAAGAGACCAAGTGGCTTTTACAATCTGACAAAAAGGAATGGCTTAGACAAACACAGGTACATAGAACCCGAAAACGCTAGAAAAATATTGGATTTTCAGATAATATAAAACCAGAAAAGATATGAGGTAAAGATGCTAGAAGTGTGTCAGAATTAGAGGTGCCTCTGATCGAAGAGGACTGCAGCACAGCTGTGAAAAATTAGAGGTGCCTGTGATAGAATTGGACTGTAGCACGACACAACTGTAATAAATCAAAATGGATAACTACAGTGAGTTTACCTGTTCATGTGCATATTTAAAGTCATCCATGTTTATAGGACGGATGTCATTACTACCATGCAAGAGTGGTAAAGGTCTGTCCTCTGCTAATGCTTTCTCTCTCTCCTGCAGATATAAAGGAAGTAAATTCACGAGAAGCAGATGCTTGGAGGCACTAAGTGGAATTGCTGCAGCACCGATCAAAAGTCAAAACAAAAGCAGAAGCTCAGAGAAAGAAGCAAAATGTGACCGTCACCACACATGTGGTATCTAAAATATTCCGTGAAGAATTTGACAAATTTATGCATTGTTATCATTCTGATGTCAATGCTCCGAATTGATGCAAATTCCTAGCAAAGCCTAACAAGATAAAATAGGCACTTTGTCCAGAAACTTGAATTTATACAAGGAAGCCATCAGAGATAAAGTTTGTCTTAAACTCATTCAATGGAGAAACTCTCTTAAATTTCATTTGGCAATAGAGAAAATGCAAGAGTTATGCTTATCTCAAAGGTGCAGACTCGCTGAGCCAACAGAAGACAATACTAGAAAAACAGCTCAAATGCTCTGAAAATAGAACAAGTGCTAGATAGCATGAGCCATAGCTAGAAGCTCAAATGCTCCCATGCACACGTCTAGAGCATAATTCAAGAAACAATAACCTATATTACAAGGAGTAACACAGCACTAGTTAACAGATACGTTAGATGCACCTAAGACTAAATGGCAGCATACGACATGAACTAGTCTCTTACCGAATGCAATGCAACAATTAAATATGTTGGGTAAAAGCTGACTTCAGATAAGAACAATGAAAACAATTAAATTAAAACTCCACAAATCACCACCAAAATGCAGCCGATGTTGATGTTGCCAGAAAACAAAAGTATCACAGGCTAAGCAACTAACAGGAAGTTCATACTAGAGCAGGCATTGATATTGAATTTTGTTGGTTTTGAGCATATTTTAAATATACAATGTCTGTTTCGAGTTTGATCACTTCCTTTCTCAAACTCTTAGGACCTCCCTGCATCCACTTTTGAAAAAAATCGAGCAAGAACCCATCTAAAAAGAAAAAGAGGTGGCTGAGATGGAATCATTACTATATTTGTAGGGCACCTTGGAAAGGAAGGAGCACGAATGTTAGAGAGAATGGATAGCAACCCAGTTATTTTGATCAAAGATATTACCAAATTTTTTACAAAACTGAAAGAGTTTTTGAGTGCGAAGAGACTGATATAAAGAACTTAACTGGTTATTCAATGATGTCTCTACATTAACCAGTGATAGTATTCATGAGAAGATCAATCACAGCATCTTTTCAACCTTTTTCTTCTACCTTCTATTTCTCTTTTGTACTTATTACATGGTCTTGATGAAATAAATTAACAGCTTTTTCTTTGCCTACAAAGTAGGTTTCCAACACTAGGATATAGGAACAGTATAGAACATATACTAATCAGTGATTTAAAAATGCCCGAGGCACTAGGCGCTCGCCCAGGCCCTCGCCCGAGCGAAGTGAGGCACTAAAAATTAATAATATTAAAATTAATAGTATTAAAATCAAAATAATAGTGTTATACTGTATACAGTTAATAGTATATTGTATACTGTTAACAGTATACAGTATAACAGTATACTGTATACTTTTAACAGTATACTGTTTACTGTTAACAGTATACTTTCGATTTTGAAAGAGGAGAAGTGAAAGAGAAGAGAAGAGTGTAAGGGAAGACCGAGGGTGTTGAGAAAAGCGGGAGCGGCAGTGGTAGCGGCAACGGCGAGCGACAACAGTGGCAGCAGCGAGCAGCGGGAGCGGCGACAAAGGCAGCGACAGCAACGAGCAGCGGCAGTGGCTACGGGAGCGGGAGCGGCGAGCGGCGACAGTGGCAGCGGCAGCGGTAAAAGCGAGCAACGGCAGCGACGAGC